TTCTCGAATTCCTGCCATTCAACCCACGCTCGCTGGGCCACCACCTGTTCCGAAATCCACACCTTTTCGAACAACCACAAGTTCCTCGACCTCCAAAGTCACCACAGCAAAGTAGATAATTGGATTCTGGCTTCGGAGGTCTCTGTTTTGGCAATCGTGCACACCTGCCACCACCACTGCTTGAAGGTTGAGTTGTTCATGTGTCCTTCGTCCCATTCTAACTGAGAGTATTTCCACACCAGTTTAGCCCTTCTACACCTGAAAAATAAATGCTCCATCGTGTCCTCCTCCTCCCCGCACATCTGGCATATAATATCGACTTGCACGCCTTTCTTCTCCAAGTTGCAACTTACTGGCAGAATGCCTTAAAAGCTCCTCCATACGAAATGCTTTAATTTTTCTTTGACTCGTAACTTCCAGCTCCTATCTCTAGCCTTCATGTCCAAACCAGCAGATCGGCTGCACCCGGAATATCAAGTTTTGTCGCTTTTACGTCCATGAGATGAGAATAAGAGCTGGCCATGGAGAAGTTACCCTTGTCGTCAAAAGCCCATTTCCACCTGTCAGCCATACCTGTTTCAATAGAATTAATGGCTGATATTGCACTGTTGTCTCTATCGTTGAAATTGTTTTTAATCAGTTCCACATTCCATGTTGTTCTCTGCACATTTATCAACTCGCGCACCTGGATTAAATCACCATGAGTAGCTCCAAGGGGTTTAGGGTTCTGATGTCCCAGGTTAGGCACCCAGCTATGGTCCTCGATTTTTGTTTGGTGGCCGCTTCTAATCTCACGTGAAAAAATTTGGCAAACAGAGGTAACAGCTCCACTCAGCTATTCTATAGCCACGAGGCGGCTGGTTTTTTCTGAGTTTCGAAGATGAAGGTAGAGGGAAAGTACCTTGCTTTTAGAAGTTAGCTCACCAAAAGGTTAGACTCCGTTGTAATTTGCCACAGTTGCTTTAAGATCATTGCCTCGTTAAACCTTTGCAGATCCTGGAAGCCAAGCCCGCCATGACACTTTGGTTGAGTCACTTTGTTCCAGCATTTCCAATGGATTCCACGAGATTGACCATTGTTCTTACTCCACCAGAATTGGGCTGACAGCCGGCAAATCTCCTGGCACACTGCTTTAGGTTTCTTGAAACACGCCATGGTGAAGACGGGTAAGGCATTAATAACGGCCTTCAAGAGTAGGGATTTATTTCTCCAGCTGAACAGCCTGCCTTTCACTGCCTCAACTTCTCCAGCTGAACAGCCTGCCTTCTTCAGAAGTACCTAAATTCGCATATTTTGCTCTATGTTTCTTGTCCTCATGCACCTTGAAACCTCCATGTTAGCCAAAAGAACAATGTCAAGCTAGCACATGAACTATAATCTTACTGAAGCGAACATGTCCCGAGAAGTAGTCAACTAAACTCTGATTATCTAACACATCCTCTATGTCAACATGCAACTGGGAAACAAGAATCAATAATAGCATAAATAATCAAAGCATCTTGACCAGCAAATAAGGATTTCGAGATACCTACTTTAGTAATTAACTAGACTTGAAAAATTAACAATTAACAAATAACATCATTGCAGAAAATAAAGCATGAAGTAGCCACACCAATACTCGTACGATTCTGTTTCAATTCAGTACCTATAGATTGGTATTATAACACGATGCTACATTTTGGCACTTAATTTTGGTGATGAAATTCAAAAGGGAGATACCAGAATGAGAACCACAAAAGCATCAGAATGAGAACCACAAAAGCATAGTAGAATATAGCCAAAGACACTAAAAAAGTGAGTGTATCTAAGAATTGCAATAAAAATAAACAACAGAAAACACTAGTTATAGTTTCCACATCTCACCATAACCACATATTTGACACCACCCAAATCAAACTATTGCCTACACATCACATTAACTCAAATTAAGTTCTCATGTTGATCCAGAAAATAAGGATAAGAAAAACTGAATTCACAAAACAAGCAATTCTACACAGCATCACACACACACACACACATATATATATATGAACACACGAAGATGATCTTGTTGTGGATGAGAAAAACACACGAATAATATTGAAATCACAAATCATATATATATTTTCAAGCACACATGACATAAAAATAAAATTAAAGAAAAAAAATATTGAAATTACCTCTTCAAGTTTCGTGGAGGAGAATCACCAAAGATGAGCGTCAGGGCGAAAAAGGGGAGAGCAAGATGAAAAATATGGAACCCTTACGTTGGTGAGTTTTTTAGTGAATCCTCTATCCCCAAAACGCTGCTCTAATGAGCTTTTTCTAAATTAGAGGTTTGGACCCAAAAAGCTTATCAAATAAGCTATTTACCAAACAAGCTCAATAGCGGATTTGACGGGTCAAACCTCTCAATTAAGTGCAATCCGCTAATTTATCTTCAATCCGCTATCTACCAAACGGGGTCTTAGTTTTGTTATATTATAATAATTTTTCTAACTTATAACATATAACTACAAAAACATAAATATATTAATCAAAAAATAATTTTATTTTTCTAGTTAATTTTAATAAATAATTTTATTATTATTATTATCAAGATAAATATAATTTATTTATTTTATATGTACAATATGGATGTCAAATCAAAGCTCATCCAAAGATGATCAATTTGATATATTATATATGTAAAACTGATAAGAAATACAAATGTTATCAACTTTTAAAATACATTTACAATTCAATGGTCATAATAGGAAATGATATTAAAATACAATTAATACGTCTAAAATGATCATAAAAAAATCAACATACTTATGGTATTCCGGATCTAATTATTTTTGAATTGGAATTAAATTAAAATCTATCCAACTCAAATAATGAAGCATGAAATTTTGGCGCCTATGATCCCAAAGCATGTGTGCCTGCCACTTAAGCTCAGCACATTCGGGAATTATATATAGGGGGGATAGTAGTTATATAGTTGTTGCTGAAAAAAGTAAATAAACGAACAAAAGATTGAGTGGAGCAAACGAAATCTGACCAGTCTACATGCACGTCTATGAATACGACCCTCTTAGTAAGACAAATTCAATGGTGAGTCACCAGCTAAAAGTTACGCATGCGACACTAAAATGGTCCCCCAGACAGAAAACAACAAATTTGGTTCCAAAATACTTTGAATGTAAAAATGAGCACCAAACGAACTCCAGTTGAGAGAAAATTTGTGGGATAGATCCAAGTCAAAAAGAAGAATCCAATGGGGTAACCCACCTAAAATAAACATGACAACACATAAATTAAACCTAATAGAAATTTGTTTAAATTGTATTGGGTGGAAATTTGAGTAAATAAAAACCTCAAAATGGCTAAAATGTTATGAGAACAACGTTCTCAACGAGAATAATCTAACGGTAGCTCATTCACTTGAAGAAGTCAGACAACACAAGAATTAGTCCGAAAAGAAATTAAAAATTTTATTATGCCCCTCGTAATTAGCATACTTTGTTTGTTGTTTTTGATAAATTAAAAAATCAAGGTCTATTTTTGTTATTCTGTGAAAATAATATACATTTTATGATTGAAAATCGATATAGTGAACCAAATAAATAAATAAATATTATATATTGCAAGGGTCGGATCGCATTGGCATGAGACAGGATTTGGCAAGTGCATCCAAAGCCCAACAGCACTATTGATTGTGAGAAATAAAATTCCAACCGCATTTCGTGTGAATGAAAAGAGTAGTCATGAAGTTGAAAATTGCAATATTTCATGCTTTGGTTCATAGTCAACATTACAACCATAAAGTATCATCCTTAGGCGCCTTGTACAAGGCTTCCATTGCCTCCCAATATGGTCTTGTACTGATTCTTCAATGCATTGTTGAATATCCAAGATCCTCTTAACTATAGATTCTGGCCTATGAGTGATTGCAAAAGGTGAAAATATATGTGATGGTGATCTACCAACGAACTTCGACTTTGGATTACTCACATGGTGAAAATATATGTGATGGTGATCTACCAACTAACTCCAACTTTGGATTACTCAGATCTCTTAGAAACTCAGGTTAATGAACCTGGTAACTCGATCAACTGAGATGGAGTTGTCCATGACTGAGCTAGTGATCTGCAAAACAATGGCCGGGAGACACTCCTGACTGACGTCAGCACCCTCGACGATCAAGTTAGCATAGGAATGTGGAAGGTACGGTAATTGAGAATATTTAAGTTATCATATGAAAAAAAAAATCTCTAATTATACTATACCCCTTACGTTAGTGTCCAATTAATTGTTCGTTTTGGTGCCCAATAACTCTTGTTGCCCAAAAAGTTGCTCGTGGGTACGCTGCTCGAGATTCGTCTTTATCCCTATAGCTCATGTCCTTCTGCTTACCCTAGGTCGAATATATCTTGATATTTGCTTCAGGTCTAACAGCCAACTCTCATTTACGTAATTAGCCGCAAGCTATTCAGGTTGCTCGATTTCACCTCATTGACCTACATTTGTTCGAGTCCTAGAACATATAGGGTGTCCGGGTTGGGTATAAAAGCCCTTTAACCATAATGTGACCCGATCGGTTGCCTCCAACTACCTAACTAATCCAGTACTGAGCCGGTCCAGTCGAGCTAATCGTAGGCCTTGCTATATTGCTAGCTATAACAATTTGTTAAACAGTTCACAAGAAAATCATANAAATATCGACTTCAACATATGGTGTATATCAAATTGTATGCATTAAAAAATTAAAAAAAAAAAAAAAAACACATTATATCCATGTGCCATTATACATGGATTTAAGAATTAAAAGAAAAAACCAAAAACCTGTAAAAATAAGGAAGTCGCGGGATAAAGTTGTGGGAAAATCCCCAAAGCAGACAAACCCTACAATCGACAAGAATTGTTCTTCACAATCGTCCTAATTCTTACATGCAAAAATCACTACTGAATCGCCCAATTTCCTTTCACCAAATATCGAAGGTCGATATCTTCCCAACCCCTTCCATCAGAAATAAAAAATGGTGATGAAAAGAGATAAGACGCACTCGGGTTTGCCACCTCCATTATATCGTGAGTTTTTAATTTGTTTACTTTTTGTCTACTTGGCCCACAGACCCAGATTCTACTTCCCTTACTGTCGTGGTGCATCATGGAGGTGTCTTCCAAAACATCCCAGTTTAAGTTATATTGGGGGTTCAAGAATCATTCTTGACTATGTGGACAAGGTACACATGAACTTAATTCACTTTACTACATTGGCAAATGAGATTATAGGTCCTGGTAAGGAAAAAATTCAGATTGATTTTTGTGATCGTCTCAGCCTCGTATGCAATGATAGTGATCTTTTGGTGGGGTTTAATGCTGCCTTTCCTTGTAGAGAATTGCATCTTTATGTAGAAAACGTTGTCAATGAAGTTGTAGGGTCTATTGATAGTGAGTACTGTTTGGGGAGTGACTCTGAAAAATGATGATGAACTATTTTATCACCATATTGATGATGTAAGTTCAGTTGACGCATCTGTTGAAAGAAGTTCTGTTGCAAAATCAGTTGGGGATTTTGGTGTTGTTGGATCATCAAGAGAATCTGATGATGAAATAAATGAGAAAGGTGACCATGTTAATGGTGATGAGGCTGAGAGTAGTGAGGATGATGTTGTGAATTATAAAGATGACTTTAATGAGAACATGTTGTCTGATGATGAAGCAAATGATGAACCACCTCTTCCAGCCCCTGTATTCAATGTAGCTCAAATTATGATCCCACCTTCAAACTTGGGATGTTGTTTAGTAGCAGAGCTGGGTTCAAAAAGGCAGCTGATTCTTATGCTATTAAACAGAGAAGAAGTTTGAAGTTCACTAAGAATGACAAGTACAAAGTTTATGTGAAATGTGGTGATGATGATTGCCCTTGGATGATTAATCTAATTCAGGTGAAGGACTCAACCACATACAGGATCCACAAATTTGTTGATGAGCACAATTGTCCTCATACATTTGATGTCAAAAATGTGAAAGCATCTTGGCTGACAAATAGATATCTTGATGATTTCAAGACTGGTCCAAACAGAAAAGTGAAGCCATGAAGGAGGGAGGTAATTCACAAGCTTGGCTACCATGTTTCTAAGTTTCAAGCTTATAGGGCCAGAAGAAAGGCTCTGAAGATTGTGGAAGGGTGTCCTGACTAACAGTTCACTAAACTTTGGGATTACAGAGAAGAACTTATCAGATCAAATCCTGGGTCTACTTTTATTTTGGGGACTATCCGTCGACCAATACAATTTTCTCTACCTCGAGCTCGCCCGACCAATGTGGTAAACCGGTCTATTCTTTAGCTATATAATATCCCATATCAGTGAAGATGCCTCACACAAAATCTATGGTGGCAATCAGAAAGAATAGAATTGAAGGCTTGGATTAAACCTTTCTGTTTATCTGAAATAAAGGTCCAATCTTGTTGGTTTATTATTTCAAGGTCATTCTTTAATAGAATCAAAAACCATTCTCAAGTTTCCCCATTTTTTGAAGATACAATGGCATATGCAAGAGGGTAGTGATTATTGTTTGGATCAACCCCAACAGCTGTGAGTAAAATTCATTTGTGAGGCCCTTTTAGAAAACAACCATTAACTCCTATGATTTTGCCTGCAACCTGCTTTAAAGCCCTTCTTAAGTGCACTGAAGAAAACATAGAACCTATCAAACCTCTTCTCACCATTATCAGTATCGATAATCGACCAAAAGGGTAAAGATCGAGCAGAATAGCAGAAGTGGTCGAGGATCGACCTAGTGACAGGGGACTCGGTCAGATCGAGCATTCAACAGGTGAAGAGCAGCCGAGATCGTGGCTTGGACGCGAGAAAGCGCGTGGGCTGCGTTAGAAAATCCTAACGGGATGCGCAGAAAATAATCTCCCTCTGCTCAGAGGGACACGTGGCGAGAGTATATTGGTGCAGAGAAATAGTGGCGATAACCACCTCTGACGCACGCATACTGTGTGTGTACGGACGGGCAGTACGGGCAGGACAGCTCACAACATCCGGACAGCTCCTAGGGCAGGTATCTCACTCCTATATATATAGGACTGAGTCTTTTCTTGTGACTTACGATTTATCCATTGCATACTTTGGAGAATTGAGTAAAATATACACTAACTTAAGCATCGAAGGCTCTTCACCGGAAAACCCCTCCGGTGTGAGAGTTCTGTGCAGGTGCGCGGCGTTCTACCAGCGAGGAGGAGGAAGGCGAGCTGATTTTAAGCCGGTCGGAGTGTTTTGCGTTACCATTTGGCACCGTTTGTGGGACCTTCGTTCGAAAAGTGGTGTGCTGAGATTGCTGGAGCTTGGTAGCTATGGCAGACGGAATTCCTAGGAGAGATTTGCAGGTGCTGTTCGACGAGGCCGTTCGGAGCAGGCCCCCCTACGGGCTTCTCCGGACCTATGCCTACACCGGTGACTCTGATACTGGTCCCACAAGGTGTAGGAGTCACGCCGGTGCAACCAGAGGCCAATGTGGGCTCAAGCCGAGCTCAGGAGGCCCGTACTACTCAGGGAGCGGCGATCCTGACTCCGCTACAGCCAGATCTGACCGTGGCGCCGCAAAAAGGGGCGGTCGCACAGGGAGTACAGTCGCCGTGAATGGAGAAGTAGCGCCCGACGCAACAAGTGGTGATGACCATGCAGGAGATGCAGCAGATGGTGCTGAACGCGGCAGCACAAGCGGTCCAGCAAGTCACCCAAAGTCTTTCTCGAGTAGCTGTTGGGCCGACGATGGTGGATGAGGATGTGTCTAGCTATGGAGGAGATGGAGCACCGTGAGATCGGGAGGTAGAGAGACTCGCGGAGCAGGTGAGGCAGATGCAAGCCAAGATGGATGGCCGACCTGAGAGGCGTGCTCGAGAACACCCGTTCTCGAGGGATATATTGGCTGCACCATTACCCGCGAATTTCAGTGATATGAGTTTCGTGTTCGATGGGACTACTGACCCGTCGAGGCACGTAAGGGCGTTTGAGAACTTGGTTGTGATACATGGTTATTCTGATTCTGTTAGCTGCAGGGCATTCTTATCGACCTTGAGAGGAGGTGCGCTCGATTGGTTTCAGCAGCCCCCTCATGGATCGATCAAGGACTTCGGCGATTTCACGGAGAAGCTGATGACCAAATATGCGAGCGTTGTGGCGCAAGAGAAGATGTATTTGACTCTGATGGCCATGAGGAAGAGGGAGAAAGAGTCGTTACGCAAGTATGTATCTCGATATAATCAAACTTTTTTGGAAATCTCCACGGCCGCTGACGAGGTGAAGGCTGGAGGGTTGATAAGGAGTTTGCGAGCAGGGCCTTGTCGAACATCCTTAGCCAAAACCCCTGCTCGTACGTATGACGATGTGCTGAAGAGATGCAAGAAGTATATTAACTTGGAGGACGGAGGCGGAGTTCGCCAAGTTGGAGGAGTTAGCTAAGCCGGAGCCTAAGAAAGGGAGGACGAACTCGCCAAGGAGGAGATCGCCCAAGAGAGAGGGGCGTGGTAGAATGGATCGTGGACGAGAGGATAGGTGGAAGGATCGACCAGTGTTTGGAGGGAAGCGGTTCCATAACTTTACACCGCTGAACGCAAAGATGGAAGAAGTGTTGGTGGCCATCAAGAAGAAGATAGAGGACAAGGATGTGACGTGGCTGAGGTCGAGGCATGAGGGGCCAACACAGCCTAGGTCGAAGAAGTATTGCCATTTCCATAAAGATTACGGGCATACAACGGAGAAGTGCAGACACCTCAAGGATGAGATCGAGCGCCTCATAAGGGCAGGGCATCTCAAGGAATTTGTGTATGAGGACAAGGTGAAGGAGAAAGATAAAGGGAGGTGTCGAGATGATTCGGTGGAGTGGAGTGATCGAGATGATGACGAGGAGGATGAACCTCGAGGAGGAAGAGGTGATCGAGGAGGTGCGGGGGGAAAACGAAGACGGGGGAGTAAAGATCGAGGAGACAAGGAGAATCACGGTCCTGTGAAGAGAGGGACGATCTATATGATTTCGGGAGGCCCAACTGATAGGGACTCGAACAATGCAAGGAAGGGGAACGTTCAAGCAACAAAGAGGAAGAGAGAGGAAGTGGGGATTACTGCTCGAATGCCGGAAATAAGTTTTTGGGCAGAAGACGCTGAGGGAGTGGTGTTGCCCCACAATGATGCGCTGGTTATTACAGCGGAGGTGGCAGGCTTTGATGTGAAAAGGGTGTTCATTGATACCGGGGTCGGTAGATGTAATGTTTTGTGATTGTTTTGTGTAGATAAACAAGGAGCTCAACCTCGAGCTGAAGCCGGTGACCACAGCCTTATATGGGTTCAATGGAGGTGAAGTAATGCCAATGGGAGAGTGAGTCTATCTGTCTCCTTGAGGAAAGGAGCGACAAGGAAGGTAAGGATGGTGAGGTTTGTGGTCGTTGGAGCGGAGTCATCATACAACATCATCATGGGAAGGACCAGTTTGAATGCATTCCAGGCGGTCGTGTCGACGTACCATATGACGATCAAATATCCAGTGGGTGAAAACGTTGGTGAGGTCGCAGGGGATCAGCTTACCTCGAGGAGCTGTTATCAAACCACAGTGAGCAACAACAAACAGCTCTCGAGGAAGCAGGTGAAGCTCGAAGAGGGAGTGTTGAATCAACCGGGGGGTTCGAGGTCGAGGGAGGAAAAGGAGAAAGCGGATAGAGGGAAGGAGAAGGTGGAGATGCAGCCAGGAGGAGAGATCGAGGAGGTCCAGATGGTGGAAGGGTGCGAGGAGAGAAAGTTTTGAGTAGGAAAGGAGCTCGAGGAGCCCATAAGGTCGAGATTGATTGGGTGAATTAGGAAGTTCGCGGATGTTTTCGCATACACGGGTGAGGAGTTAACGGGAATAAAGGCGGAGGTAATTGAACACCGTTTGAATATCGATCTGACGGTGAGGCCGGTGAAACAGAAGAGGAGACATCATGGAGAAGAGATGGATAAGGTGATCGAGCAGGAGGTTGAGAAGTTGTTGAAGGCGGGTCATGTTAAGGAGATCCAGTTCCCTGAGTGGTTGTCGAACACGGTGATGGTGTCTAAGTCGGGAGGACAGTGGAGGATGTGCTTTGATTTTCACGACTTAAACAAGGCGTGCCTAAAAGATTTGTATCCA